GGTCCGGGACCGGAACTGCGGTTGACTACGTGGGAGTCCAGCGACATAGCCATTACGCTAACTGCTGATTCCCAATAAAATACTTCTTAAAAAAAAAAAAAAAAGAAAAGAAAACAGCAAGGGCCCTGGCCTTCCACATGGTGGGCAGGTTCCTTTCTCATTTTCCCTCTCTGATTCTTGCTCTGTCCCTCTCTGGTCAAAAGTTAAATAAATAAATAAATAAACATTAAATTAAAAAAGAAAGAAAGAAAGAAAGAAAGAAACAGCAGGAGGGACAAAATGGTAGTCCTCTCCCCAGAGCACACAGGTGGGGACATTGGTGGGGGAAGGGGCCGACTAATGGCCCCTGGGAGGACCCCACAGGGAATCAAGGAGCCTGTGCTCAGGGGCGAGGACACACATGCTACCCACCATACTCACCTCTTGTGGGTACAGTTTTGGTAGGTATGGCACCCCCATGCCCACCGCCTTGTAGCCCCACTTCCTGTCTGCAACCGCCACATGACGCCACCTCCCCCTGACACTCCAGGATCCCCAGGGGCCACCACAGAACACTGGACAGCCAGGGAGCGACACAGGCATGTCCTAAGATGTGTAAGAGGGTAGGTTCCACCGTTACACGTGTGAGCAATTGCTTTTACCAATACAGTCGGACACACGTTGGTTGTAGAAGGCGCCGTACGGCTTTATTAGTTTTCTGTGGCTGCAGGAGACATGACCCCACACGGAGCAGTTCAAAGCCACATTCATTATCTCAGTGTCTGAGGGTCAGGAATCGAGGCCTAGTGGTCCCTCTGGCTCACGGCTCCCCGTGAGGTTTCAGTCAAGCTGCTGGCGAGGACTACAGTCACTGCAAAGCCAGACAGGCTGGAGCCTCTGCCTCCAAGCTCACTCCTGGGGCCGCTGGTCCCAGGCTGTCCCCATGACATTGCAGCTGGTGACCCGAGAGAGAGAAAGAGAGAGAGAGAGAGAATGCTCCAGAGGGTATTTGGGAGGGACGCCATTGTTTTGCTATTGCTTTTTGACGGTGCAGGCACATGCCAGAGACAGAAAGCAAGAAATCAACCCCCAGGAGGGATGGCCACACCACAATCCCTTCTCCTCCTTTCTCTTCTCAGGATTTGGGGCATGCGCGTGCACACACACCCAGCGTGAATTTCAAGCTACCCGGTCTGGGACTCGAATTGCAGTTTACCATGTGAGAGTCTAGCAACTTAACCACTATGCCACCCACGGGCCCCAAAGCCACTCTTTTTCTTTTTTGGAGAGGCTTTTGCTATAGGGCGTGTGCGCTCACCAGAGAGACAGAGAGAGACAGAGACAGAAAGCAAGAAATCACCCCCCAGGGGGGATGACCACACTGCAATCCCTTCTCCTCCATTCTCCTCTCGGGATCCTGGGCATGCACGCACACGCACCTGGCGTGAGTTTAAGCCACCAGGTCCGGGACTTGAACTGCGGTCGACTATGTGGGAGTCCAGCGACATAGCCATTACGCTAACTGCTGGTCCCCAAGCCACTGTCTTTTTATAACCTAATCTCAAAAGTGACATCTTCATTTTTTTTGTTTGTTTTTTGTTTAATTTTTTTTAAGAGAATTTTTTTTTTGCTACTGGGCATGTGCGCTCAATGAGAAACAGACAGAAAATGAGACATCACCCCCCATGGGAGATGGCCATGCCACAATCCTTTCTCCTCCATTCCCTTCTTGGGATTTTGGGCATATGTACACATGTGCCCAGCCTAAGTTTTAAGCTGCCGGGTCTGGGACTTGAACCACAGTTGACTATGTGGGAGTCCAGCTACATAACTCGCTACGCCATCTGCTGGTCTCCTAAGTGATATCTTGTCACATCTGCAGTATTCGAGCAAAATTGGTAAGTCCAGCACACACGGGGGAATCACACGGGGCATGAATACCAGGATGTAGAAACCTTAGCGGTGTCCACCATGCTGGCCAATGGCTGGTTCCGTTGCCCAAACCTCTGATCCAGGCACATCCCCGCAGCCCATCTTGTCCTGCTCATCCCAAGGCATGCCCCTTGGAGCACCAATGGGGGGGCAGCTCTGTACGCTGGGGAGTCCTGGTCTAGCCGGGCTGGCAAATGTCATCCGGGAGACTGAGGACGTGCAGACAAGGCTCCGTGTGACGCTGTGACCTCATCCATCATTACTTGACCTTGGCGTTTGTTTTTATGGAATACTGCTATCCCGAGAAATGTGTTGACACTTGGCTCACCACTAGCTTAGTCCAAGGGGCGAGACTGGAACCCAGGGAAGGGCCGCCGTGGCCCAAGGTCATCACTCAAGAAGCTGTTAACAGAGCGAGACCCAAGCCCATGACTGTTTTCCCAACTCTCAGCCCAGGCTATGGCTAGAGGAGCCCCGGGGGACCCTGTGACGCTGAGCCTATGCCAGAAGAAGAGCCAGGAAGAGCTCAGTTTAGAGCCGGAGTCTGCGCTGCGGCTGGTCTCCACGGGCCTGGTGCAGGAGGCTGGCACATGCCCTTCGACTCCCCTGCTGCAGCATTTAGAAGTGCAAACCAGGAAAATACGGAGACGTTGTCCTGTGGGGCTGCTGGTTCCCAGGGGCTGAGCGATGGGCCCCGTGTTCATAGAAAAACCTCAGTCCCAGACAAGGGAGGCTAAGACTCCAGGGACCCAGGCCAGCAGCCACGCCAGTAACTTCTCTATTCTCAACTCTTAGAGAGAGGTGGAGAGAGACAGAGAAAGACAGAAAGTGAGAAATCACCCCCCCCCCGGGGGGAAGGCCATACTGTGATCTCTTCTCCATTTTTCTCTCGGGATTTTTGAGCATGCATACACATGCACCCAGCATGAGTTTCAAGTCGCCGGGTCCAGGACTCGAACCGTGGTCAACTACGTGGGAGTCCAGCAATGTAACCATTACACCATCTGCTGGTCTCTAGACTCCTCTCTGCCTCTCCACGGCTGCTTGCCCTGTGTGCCCAAAAAGCTGCTTCCCGACACTCTGTTCTGAGGCCCCAGTA